ATGACAAAACCTTGTCAAAACGTTGTACATTTGCTGTTACGTTAAACTTATATTAAAGTTTTTCTTCATTACCCATTCAAGCCATCTCCAGCCATTATTATTCTCAAAGTGGGTTCCTCGTCATCAAATGTGAAATTCTCTTTAATAACTACAGCCTTCACCTTGTAGATGAAGGCATTGTTCCAGGTTGACTTGAGGTGTAGTTCCGATATGATATCATACCTCAACTTGTATAATAGCTTTTGTCGTTCAGTGCTGCTCTCTATTTGTGCCATTTTCACTCCCCACTAGCCTTGATACTCCCACCTACCCCCACATGTTTATACGTGGTACAGCTGTGCTGTAGCATGCAAATAAGCATGCTACAGCCCTCCACCAATAGGAGTGAAACACACCCTCCTGATGCAGCTGACCCTGTAGAACCCAATCTTCACTTCTCAGTTTGGCATACTAGAATTTAAACATAACTAATTTTCACTTGTGTTTGCTTCAATTTTTGTTTTCTGAAGATTTTGTGGAACACCTGTTTTTGTTGTTTTCAGCTCATTAATTTCTTTTCTCTACATTAACTTGATACTGTAGGTTGACCTGAAATTCCCACTCTCAGTTTGAATTATGAACTCAAGTTACATCAACTGCTACTTGCAGTTTTTAAGGCTTTGGGCTACATTTTTTTATGTGGAGGATGCTTTGCTGCAAGTTAGATCCATCATGTAGCCTGCTGTATCTCCTGACCCAAGACCAGACATACCATTTCCTTGGGAACCTGATCAGGATGAGGATTTGATTAGCCTGTTCTCACCTCCTTCTTTTGCCATTCAATCTTGGGTCACACTTGTGGACATTCCTAGATCATCTTCTGTCTTCCTCAATATTATGTCTAAGGTATGTTACCTTTAGTCTGTATCCCATGCGTCTTATGAATCTTCTCATTCCCTTCTGCATACTACTGCTTCCTTGGATTGCTTTGTTTTCCTGCCCTCTCAAGGTATCATGGTCTGTACTGATCAGTTTCTGGTACAATTACATTCTGCGATGAACATGCCTTGTGCCTCTGATTCCTACGCATTTCCGTATCATTCAGAATTTCATTTTCTAGACTCACAGCATTTAGAGTCTTTGATTCAGGTGTGGAGATCTGTTCCTGATACTGCTGTGAGATTTTTCTAGGCCCAATTTTCCCATCTATATTTGACCCTCGCCACCCTCCTGTGTTACCTCTCCTCTATCCATCTCCTATACCAGAGGCTATCCACCTTTCTCCCTTGAGATTTTTGGCAGATACTCACTACTTCCTGTTTTCCACATTGACTCGCTTGTCTTCCTCTGCCATTTCCCTACAAACTTGGTTCCTCTGTTGTTGGGATCTCTTTGATAGGGATACATTTTTAGCTCACATGCACTTGCTCCATTTTTACCCCAGTTGGTCTTTGGAGATCTTCCTGACTCATTGGAGTTCAATGTGGAGGCTGCGCATCAACACTCCTCCCTTTCCTCCATGGTCTCTCATCTTTTGCAGCCTTCACATGCCCTCAATCCTCTATCTTACCCTCCTCCTTCCTCATCTTTACCTGTCCCTTTTCCCGAGTCTTGACAGCTAACTGTCAGATTGCTCATCGCCAGATCTCCTGCAGCCAACTTAGGTGGATGTCTCTTTCACATCCCTACTTCCCTGACATCCATACCTTATCTTTGTTTTGTCCACAAAGGTCGAATATATCAATTTCGTACTGTTCCATTTGGTCTGACTTCTGCACCATATGTATTGTGTCAGGTGATCAGGGCCTTTGCCCATCTTCTTCATTCTCATAGTCTGAGGTTTAGCCATTATATGGACGAGTCGCTGCTTTTAGCTACATCCCAACAAACATCTCACACACACACACACACACACACATTTACTTCTACAAAAGGCTGCTCATTTGGGTTGGCTAGTCAAGTTGGAGAAGTCTTTTCTCATCTCAGTTCAATGCCTCATCCATATGGGAGTGTTCATCAACTCCTATCTCAGTTGGGCCCAGCCTTCTCCTCTCTCGTTGTGATTGATGGAGCTGTTAGTTCACAAAGCCAAATCCTCTCCTTCTCCCACTGCATTCAAGGTTCTATCTATTTTGGTTTTCATGTAAACCCACATTTCTTTGGGTCATGCTCACGTGCACGCTCTTCAATAGGTGTTGAATGAAATCTTGCTTGGGATCCCCTGGACTTTGGTATCCTTCTTCTTCCCTCACTACATGTTGATTTAGCCTTGTGGCTTGAGAGGGTCAACACCACGACTGGCATTCTTCTTCCGCCTCCCCATCCCAAGTTGCATCTTTTTTACTGATGCTTTGCTGACAGGTTGAGAGTGTTTATGGATTCCTAGGATGTCATAGGTCATTGGTGTTTGAGCGAATCTGCTCTGCACATCAATCTTCTGGAGCTACTTGCTGTTTGTCATGCTTTGGATTGTTTCCTGTCTTTGGTATGAGGAATATTGATCATGATACATTCCAACAATTTGACCATTGTGTCTTACATTAGGCGACAAGTGGGCACCCATTCACATTCGCTTTGTTTTTTAATGTTGGAACTCCTCTTTTGGGCTCATTCATATCATGTACACCTACTTGCATGTCATGTCCCAGGTGCTCTGAATCTTGTTG